GAAACCATAGGCCACTTCTGGTCCAAGGGCTATAGGTTCATTGCCCCCTGATCTACAGCTATTCTGTCTGATCATTCTATGTAATGGCAGGGACCCATTTCATATAATACTCATGAATATACAAAATTATTAATAAATTATTATTATTATTATTATTATTATTATTATTATTATTATTAAAAATGAAAATGCACATTTGGCTTCAGTTTGCACTTCAAGTTATCAGGTTTGAAAAGGGAACTCAAGCACTTAGCAGTAGAAGAAATGCACAAGTTCACTTTTCAGATGTGACAAGCATGGTTCAAAAAGCAGGCACATCTGCTTTATCGTGGTGCATTTGCTTTTTGCTATTTGTGCAATAATACACCCTGCATCTGCAGCCTGCCAGGAATTTAAGGTCACTCTCGCACTTGAGATCCCAACATACAGTCAATTTAATTATAAAACAGTGTTTGGGGGATAACCTTTGAGATTTCATACATGCAATCTGTAACAGCAAGTAGCTCATCTTGGAGGAGACAGCATCTTTTCAAAACAACTGAGGGCAACAGCTAAATATTACTTTTAGAAAGGTGGAGGGAGAGAAGAATAAGATACATTTTTTTCATTTTTCTGCTTTAATATGACCTTTTCACATTGAAAGCACAACTTTGTCAAACAGTACTAGTCAACTTGGCATTATCACAAACTAGTATTGTCAAGCATTGAAAAGAGAAAATGTATCATTGGCTCCTGAGTGGTAAAAGCTACATAATAGCGATACAGTAATAGATAAGGGACAAAACATGAAAGCTCATTATATTATCTATACTATGTTTACTCTATAATTATCTTAAACAACTATACTTTAAATGTCAAGGGGGCATTGCAACCACACACTTCACATACAGAGTTATCGCCTTGCTCCTATTGTAACAGTTTCATTTACAAACCTCAGTACTGAACCCAATCGCAGAAATTGCTGGAGGGTGGAGGGAATGTAACAAGCTCATGTAAAGTTAAACATTTGTATTGTTGTTCCCAAGGTGGGGCATCATTTGGCTTCACTGCAATGCCCTAAAGAGAAAGTTTTAGGCTACAATTCCATGCTCACTTACTTGGGAGTTAATGTCTTGGAACTCAGTGGGACATATGAGTAAACATCCATAGGATGAGGTTATTAACAGAGTTCTCTCTCTCCTTAGTAGTGGCAGTGAGCATCTACAGAGCGCCTCATCCATCATGTTCCTAAGCTGGATTTTAAACATTTGCCAAATGCTTCCAATTTAGTTTAATTGCACTAACCTTCAGGTATGTTAAAACATGGGAAAAGGAAGACACTGCATTATATTAACATTTAATTTTTAAAGTACATTTGAAACTAAATGTTTGAGAAAGTGAATGTTACTTTGCTAAAACTTCTTAGTCCTATAGAAGGTCCCCTTTCCTTCCATTCAGCACATTCTCCTTCTGTACTTAATAATTATGTCTTCCACTGTCATCAAATACAGGATCAGAAAGTTCAAGGATATGCCTCCTAAGTCAACTCAATAGGCCCTTATGTGCTTCACTAAGATATTTATTTGTTTAAACTACTCATAGGCTAAATTTACGCCCAGCCAAGGGAGCTTCCAACAAAATATATGAAAGCCAAAATATTAACACTACAATAATCTACAATAATAAAACCACAATTATCACCAACAGAACAAGCCATGAAACTTAAAAACAAAACATCCAGCAAAATACCAAACACCAGTAAATAATTACAGCAAAAACACAATTAAATTTGATTCTTGATCTCTAACTTAAAGCACTTCAGCAACAGTTAGCACACATGCGGATCTTCATGCCTACCCCCTCCAATTTACTCTAGAGCAGCGGTTCTCAACCTGTGGTTCCCCAGATGTTGGACTACAACTCCCATCATCCCTGAGCTCTGGCCTTGCTAGCTAGGGGTGATGGGAGTTGTAGTTCAACAACATCTGGGGACCCACAGGTTGAGAAAGGCTGCTCTAGAGGGTCCCCAGGCCTCTTGAAATTATTTGGCAGAGAGGCAGTGTGGGATGCAGGAGGGAGGACAGCACAGGGGAAATTCCATTGTGCAAGCAGGACCCCATAAGCAGAAGCCTCTTTTAAGCCAGTTGCTCCTGGAAGCCTGTGATGAACACCTTCCTCAGGTATGTAGGTTGTCCAGACCTAAAGATTTCCTTCTAGTGAGTACACAGTGCACAGAGAGGAAGTCTCAATGTCCTGCTGAGAGATGCATTAACTTTACAACAATTCATCCAATGATCTTTCCATTTTTCAAAAGAAAGAATTTCGCTGCCAAGGAAAGTGAAAGGTAGACTGTCGAAGTGCATCCTAAGGAACAAATGATACCAATTTTCTGAGCCTGGCCATCTCTACAAACTACTTGTGAAATGGAAAGAATACTTTAAAATCACAGAACTGAGAAAGAAAAAAAGAACCTGCCACTAAGGCTATGACTATCATTCTTGAGCCCTGTATGACCTCAGCCAAACGGGGTCATCTAAGCCAAAGCTTTTTCTCCTTGAAAATTCAGGTCAAACAAAGTACATTTCTGATAGAATAATAACTATTCTATTAAACTTCTTGCATATTAGCGTTGTCACAATGAAAACTGAAGAGGCTAGTACTTCTACAGTATCTCAGACTCTCCCTAGCAAGAAATACTGCCTAACTAGAATGGATAAAATAAAGGAAATTCACCTATGCAGCCACCCTCCACATATTTAAAACAGCACAACTTAAGTAACTATACAGTGTCACTTCAAAAACCAGTGGTACAAATTATACTGAGGCCCCTGAGGTGGCCCAAAATTCATCCAGTTTCCACTTTAAGACATTCTAATTGGGAAGAAATGGGAAGAAACTGGGATAATCTCAAAAGAAGTGGCAAATATCTTTGTACCTAAAACCACAAATTAAGTGTATATTAGAAATGCAGTAGTGGCAGGCAGGGCGGCTTTCCTGATGACTGCCAGTAACAGAGAGGAGAGTGGCAAGGTTGCAGCAGCAGTGTGTGGCATTGGGAAACCAAGTCAGCTTGTCAGGAAAACCTGTCATATTCACAAGTGAAATTTCAGAGTTCAGCACCCAGAATAGTGTAAGAACTTTCATTACTAATATGATTTTTTAAAATGCAGATTAGTGAAGGTGCATTAATTAAATGATAACTAAGACAGACATTGAGAAATAGAATATAACTCAACTCCTTAAGTCAAATGCAGATTTCTGCTTGTGACCCTGCACAAGATGACACATTTTTATACATACCTTTTAGAACTCTCCCATTGTAGAAATTTGTTGCATATGTGCACATGGATCACATATGCAAAATGTGGAAAGCAAGCTTGTACAGCAGCTAATATTAAATAAGCACATGTGATGATGGCAATATGGCTTATGAAACAAGGACCTGGCCACTGCCTTTCAACGCATACTAATATAACTCACCCTTAAAAAGTAACTGTTCCTTTAGTGTTGCAGAACAGTTTTGAATATTTATTAGAAGCAGAAAAGACATAAAAATGACTTGTTCATTTATTCACTTGGATTTTTTCATACAGCACTATCAGTGATTCAGTGCAGACATAGCTATGGTATGGATATCAGAAACATCCTGTGGAGTTTCCTACCTCATTAACTTCCATTTAACGATGTTAAATATATATATATCCACACAGGCACTTACTAGGGCACCAAGATTCCTCAAACCCATGACTTAAAGTGGATTTGAAACCACAGTAGGCGACTATGTTCTTTTAGGTACCTGTAAACACTTTTTAAAAATTCCATAAGCCCATTTAGAGGTATTTAGTTATGTATACTTGTTTTTAATTTAGTTTAAAAATAATAAAAATTGGTATTGGTATTTTTTTAAATGCTTAAATTTTAAATGCTTAAATGCTTATAAATTTTAATATTTGAATTATTGACAGTTATTTTAATTTATTTTATGTACAACACACACACACGGTTTATGCATTTTTATAAACAATGAAATATATGGTTTTGGGCAACGTGGATGGCCTTAAACACAGTACAGTGGTACCTCGCAAGACAAATGCCTCGCAAGACAAAAAACTCGCTAGACGAAAGGGTTTTTGGTTTTTTGAGCTGCTTCACAAGACGATTTTCCTTATGGGCTTGCTTCGCAAGACAGAAACGTCTTGCAAGTTTGTTTCCTTTTCCTTAACACCGTTAATACAGTTGCGACTTGACTTCGAGGAGCAACTCATAGAACGTGGTGTGGTAGCCTTTTTTGAGGTTTTTAAAGACTTTGGTGATTTTTGAAGCTTTTCCAAAACTTTCCCAACACCGTGCTTCGCAAGACGAAAAAAATCGCAAGACGACAAAACTCGTGGAATGAATTAATTTCGTCTTGCGAGGCACCACTGTACAGTGGTACCTCAGATTACATACACTTCAGGTTACATACTCTTCAGGTTACAGACTCTGCTAACCCAGAAATAGTACCTCAGGTTAAGAACTTTGCTTCAGGTTGAGAACAGAAAACGTGCTCCGGCAGCGTGGCAGCAGCAGGAGGCCCCATTAGCTAAAGTGGTGCTTCAGGTTAAGAACAGTTTCAGGTTAAGTACAGACCTCCAGAATGAATTAAGTACTTAACCCAAGGTACCACTGTATCAAGGAAAGAGTGAGCCAGCAACATATTCCCAAACTCCACGGTTCATGTGTCTAGTGTCAATGATACAATGTGTACAAAACAGCATGACTCCTTTGGCTTTAATAAAATAAAGCTGATTCAGGATTGACGATGTGTCAAGGCAAATGATCCTGAAAACCAAGAGGGAAAAATTATAACTCTGTTTCCAGTGTAGTACTGAAAACTAAGAGAACTCTTTCAATCTGTCAGGGCCCTGTTATATTTAGAATTTTAATGAGAGTCATCAGCATCAATATTTTACAACTTAATCAGCACCGTCTTACAACCTCCTGAAATCAGCCACATAATCATTCTAATCATCAATACTCACTGGATCTTGACAGCTGAGAACCTCCAGGATGCTGTTGAGTAATTCAACACAATACTTCTTCTCTTGGTTTTGTGCCTCTTCCCTTGGATCCAGTAATTCCTTCAGTTCTTTGGTAATGACAGGAAGCAGGATATCTCTACATTCTGAAAGTAATAATTTGCTACTTAAGATTATCACAGAAATTTTCCTGTTTTTCTTCCCAGAAAGCATACAATGCAGTTCCCCCTCCCACAACTATGCTTAATTCCAGTCACTTCCCATGTAGAGCCTTCTGGCTTCTATCCCCTTTCATCTTACCAATGTAAACATGAAGAAAGCAATTAGGATCTACAGAATGAATGTCTAAGTAACTAAAGGCAGTTCAGCAAAGAGTAATACCACATACTACACTTCATGAAGATCTGGCTGGTGAATGAATCAATCATTCTGAATAGAATACATGTGTATGCTTTGTGGGTAGTAAATGTCTTCCTGCAATGCCAATTTCCTATTATTATTATTATTATTATTATTAAACTTTTCTTGTTGCATTAATAAAAGAGAAAGTGAAAAGCTGACCAAGAGCTAGAAAGGCAGCAAAATATACATTGAAAATGTGAAGCTTGCATACGTTTGACAGCAAATCAGAGCAAATAAATCCAAATGGCATGGAAAACTATGCAGAAGACCAATTTGCCAACAACAACCCAAACACATTATCTATGAAGCTGAGCTAAGTTCTGCCCACAACATTTACATTCAAGATTGTTCCTAGAACATCCTTGGAAAAGCAAGAGTGCCTCTTACTCGTGAATTGTGCATGTGCACACTACTTCAGATATTTGGGGGAAAGGAGAGAAACAATGTAACAGACACTCAGCATCTAAGCCAGAGATACAACTGTTCATGAAACATAAACATGCATCATCAAAACTCAAGAATGGCCATCTGTAACCCTTCTCTTCCTACCAAAATTTCACACCCAACATCCCCCAAATGCCACCTTCAGCACCAGAAAGAAAACACTCATTTTCCCCAGCAACTTATTTTATGGTGAAGAAAAAAATATGACATATGAAGAATATAAAATGGTGTGAAAAGCTGGATGATGGTGGTGAAAGAAAAGAGAAGTCTTTCCTCCAAACCCTTTTCACTGCTTAATAAAATTCCCAATTTTTTTTTAGTATTCATGCCTTGCTTCTCACAGTAGCAAATCCCCCAATTAAAAGTGGTTTTATGTTAGAATATTAACTGGCCAATTCTGACACAATCCCTAGTTATACCTGACATAGTATTGTTTAGTAGGGTTTGTGCATCTGAATCTAACAAGTCCCAAGGTGGTGAGATGCCTCAGAAGTATTGGGGTTGATTGTCACAGGTGAAAGGGGATCTTTATGAGGCATCGCAAGTCAAAGGAAGGACTCCTGAAGCATTGACAATAATGCAGACAAACATTGGCTGAAAGGGGAGAAAATTATTTTACCCGCATTTTCCAATCCCAGTGCTTTGGTGAAGGAAGCAGCTTTTCAAGAACAAAACTTATGCCTCTGAGATCAAGGAAGGTGCGAAGGTGAGGAGTAGAAACGGGTCAAGATCTCCATTGCAACTGGCAGATCAAGTTTGTATCAGAGGAAATGATTTTTTTCTTGGAAAGTGAATCATTTGGTTCTTTCCACCCCGAAGTCAACTTTAAAGGTACCTGGCACAATTCCACTGAACCTATTTGTTTGTGATTTAACAGGTTTCTTACCCAGTGGCACCTCTTTTATGTTTGCAATTTTCAGAGCAATTGTCCACAAAACACTAAAGGAGATTAAGTGATTCCCACCCAAAACTGCTCTTGTATCACATCAGCTTTGCTTCAGACATTTTGAAGGATTCATGGCTCTCCCATCAGATGTCAAAGAGATAAACAACTACCTGACATTCAGAAGACATCTGAAGGTAGCCCTGTTCAGGGAAGTTTTTAATATTTAACGCTGTATTGTTTTTAACACCTGATTGGGAGCCGCCCAGAGTGGCTGGGGAAACTCAGCCAGATGGGTGGGGTATAAATAATAAATTATTATTATTATTATTATTATTATTATTATTATTATTATTATTATTATTATTGCCAGGAATCAGATTTTATTGGTTTCTAGCACAAAATACCCTATACGTGTTTGTTTATAAATTTGGAAACCTTTATCCAGCCTGAGATTACATTCACTTCTGCCAGAATGAATAAAGTGAGAGTCATTTCTTGAAAATTCTCAATAGGGAAGGAAGAGGAATGGAGCAGATCCTAAAACTAATGGCTGCCTTTGCAGGAATACCTGCAATTACACTTCTGAAATTTGAGAGAACTTATGCACTCAGAAGGAGTAACAATGCCTTCACATTAATCAAATTTTGCCCCAAATCAACAAGAACTTTGTATGGGAGATACCATATTTTAGAGGCTTTACTCATTTTGGAAGGATTGTGATGCCTGCAAATTTCATCCATTTCTATAAAAAGCAGGGCATTATAGCTGTGTCTACAGTGATTGGGGCAGAAGAATTAGACTGCCTATGTCTGACCAAATCAGGTTGTTATGAAGCACCAAACTGAAGTCCAAAGTGAATCTTGTGGTTGATGCACACTTATTTACACAAAACTATGCTCTTTCCCTATGAAAATATTTATTTACTCTCTTGCTTACTGTTTGAAATTGCTTTGTACTATTAGCTGTAATAACATCCAGTTTTCCCCAGCATACATTACTGAAGGAGGGAGAAGTCAGACTGAATGTCTGCAATACCCTTGAAGCCCCTCAAAATCTGTTTTTGGGGGTTGAGGGCTACTTCCAAAATGGAATATTGGGGCAGCGGCGCATGGAGGTACAACAGAAGGGGATTTGGCAGAATTTGGGAGGGGGGGATCTTGCCATTTATTTGGATCAAATGTGGAAGAGCTGATAAAGTTTGGGTAATGGTAATCCTTGGCCCAGATGGAGTGGTGGCTGTTTTTAAGCTTCTTAAAAGCAATCCTTTCTATTCGTTGTAAATCCCAGCCACTGTCATTAATAATTGAGGTATACTTAGCAAGCACAATTTAGTACATAACCTGAAGCCTTACTTTTTGCGCAAATTTTAATTTTAAATATACTTTAGCTTGACATCCCTAGTGTATAACTTCAGCTTGTTTGGGTGAATTGATATATCTATGGAATATATATATATATATATATATATAATACATTTTTTCAGAATTTATTATGAAGTTACACTCTTGTGGCTGCAAAATATACGAAAATAACATTTACAGTGCTTAGTCAGAACATCTCTGGGGAAGAATATATTTATGGCAGGGGTAAGGTGCATTTGTTCTGTGACCCAATAAATAGAAGTTTTTTGGCAGCTGCCCAAGTCCTCAGCTCTTATCTTTTAAAGCTTGTAACTCTTTATTCAAGGGAGGTAAGATAAGATGAATTGGGTGCAATTACACAAACAGGGTATTAAAAGCTCGCATTATTATTGAACTTAAAAAGCTGAGTGAAGGCAAGGACTGAAACAGGAGGTACAAATTAATGCATACAGGGTATTTATAATACCTACACTCCAAGATGATGGGCAACTGCATAGACAATAGAATGAGTCAGGAAGACCTGACAATTAGGTCCTCTTGAGATGTACCCACAGCTGGGAGCTGTTTTTCCATGCATGGATCCCACGTTGCTTCATTCACATGGTCTGAATGAGGCAACCATTTAGGCGGGGCATCAAATAGGTCTTTCCCATGGTATATACTGTCCTGAAACCATGAGCGCATTCTGATACTTCTACAAGTGGTACCTCTGGTTAAGAACTTAATTCATTACGGAGGTCCGTTCTTAACTTGAAACTGTTCTTAACCTGAGGTACCACTTTAGCTAATGGAGCCTCCCACTGCCACCACAGGATTTCTGTTCTCATCCTGAGGTAAAGTTCTTAACCCGAGGTACTACTTCTGGGTTAGAGGAGTCTGTAACCTGAAGTGTTTGTAACCTGAAGTGTTTGTACCCCGAGGTACCACTGTATTACATTTGACTCCAATCAATTCTACCAAGACAGCATTTTTTTCTCACTCTTTCTGAGTGGAAAACAATAGCAGGAACCGTAATAGTTGAACTGGGTGTTTTTTTCTCCTAACACATTCTGTACACAAATAGTTTCAAGCATCCATTTTCATACTAGCATTAAAAGTTTCCTTTAACAGTAAAACAAAGCAGTGCCCACACATCTAATAGAAAAAAATAATTTGTACTTGTCACTGTTTTTAATATATAATAATAACTTTGACTGTTCTGCCTAAGAGAAAATTGGGCTATGTGGTAAATGTCATAAAGTAGGAGAAAATATGCTAACTATGCAAGATGGGTTGCCTGTTATTTATGCAGCACTGTAGACCCAATTAATACACATTTTCCATTAATAATGTTCATGAATTAACTAATAGCCAACTTACCATGTTAATCTTTATTATTAAAATAATGTAATCATGATCGTTCTAGCCTTTAATTTAGCTATGCAGGCATTTTATTAGAGATAATGGAAATTTATATAGCTATTTATATTCATTCCACTTCAGATTTCTTTAACAATAGCAGACATAATTGAATCTTAATTAATCCTCTCCCCTACATACACACACACACACACACACACACACACACACGATAACCAGTATTGTTTTCACCTATACTGGTGGTTAACTGTTTTGAATACTGTATATTATTGCTTGCATAATAAGATATGCAAAAATTCTCATCTATGCTATATATTGTACAGTCTCAATATCAGTTATTTAAGTTTTTCCCCCTTTCAGATTTAAGTTAGGAAGATGCTTCTATGAAGAGCAGTCACAGTACACAAAGGACCTCCCAAAGTAAACCAACCCCAGGTAATTGCTGTGCCCCTGAAACTGCTGGTGGCAAGGATAAAAATAGGTATACAAGGAGAATTTGCTGGATGCCAAGATCCAGGTTTGGGGCAGGTACTTTTTGGTGAGAGAACCCCAGCAGAGATTTAAGATAAGAAAATATGCAGCAAAGTGTAGAAAAATAGGCTGTTAGACCTTTAAAACATGCCATTGTGGGTTCCAAAATAGTCCCTTCCTCCCCTAGCATAGAAAAAGACCACATGTTTAGTAAGTGAAAATG